AGATTTCACTTTTATTCAAAAAATCTGTGAATCAACCAATTTCTTTGCTGTCCGTGAAATGCAACCCCAGCTTTCCAGCGCCCAAGCAAAGGTAGGTTGTTGCATTACTGTTATTGGCTTGTTTTCCATAAGTAAACAAAATGCATAGAGACAGGAAATGTATCTGGTGTCCGTTCTCCAGAAAAAGAAAGGAAAACTAGTTTTTCTTTACTTTCATTAATGCTGGACCTTTTGCTTCATTTTCTCTTTATGGTAGGTCTATCAGCAAAGACCAGCAAAGGGGCAAGTGCCTGAGGGAACAAGGATTGAGAGAAAAGAACAGAGGAGAAGTCTCTCCACCCCCATTGAGGTTTGGCATCTCCCATTCCTGAACCTCCCCACAAAAGAAGACCTGGAAGCTCACTTGAGGAGAAGAACAGCCCAGAATAGGTGGGGACTTCCCAAACGAGTTCTTCAGTCCTTGAGGGTCCTTCTGCCTCCCGGAGCTCCTTCCAAAGTGGATTTGGAATGCAGAATATGGCTTCAGAGGTCCCCGCAGGCCCTTACTGCTCAGGATGAAAAAGAGAAAGGGCGAAATGAAGAGGAGGAAGTCCATAGGGATTGTGTTCATCTGAAGCATCAAAAATCTCCTCTGGGAGAGACACAATTTGAGTCTTCAGAAGGAGAACATTCCATGTTTGGGAAGAAGGACGGTTTTCAGAGAGCAGGAGAAGGCCACGAAGCTCAGAATGGAGAGGTCACAAAGAAGAAATGGTGGCCAGTACCAGTATCATGGATAGGAAACTGCATCTCCTGCGTCAAACAGAAGAATGGAGGGGTAAACAAGGAATCTCAACGTTCGCTTGGAGAGAGAAAGATGGGAAGTGCCAGAAGGAAAGGGGTGTTTCAGCTGCCATGGAGGAAGAAAAGGTCTCCGAGAACTGTTGTTGGAGAGCCCTCCACAATGGAGACTCCAGCTGGAGATGATTCAGTTTCTAGGAAAGACAAAGAAGACCTAAGTACCAGGGCAAA